TTCTCGTAGGACCAGCAGTTTAGGAGTTATTGAGGAAAAACGAAATTTTTTTCCAAAAGTTCGCCGTTTCGACGGTGGAATGGTCGGATTTTGTCAACATCAATAAAATGCCAAATAATCATATGTAACTCATTAAATATCGAAATTAAAAGAAGAATGCACTATTTTTAATTATAGGAAATGCGTTTTTCTAAGGTACATAAATACATCCTTAATAAATCCCACAATACATTCTTAATAAATCGATAGACGTATATGAAACTTAAAATGCCACGAAATTTCCAAACATCTCAACAAATTTCGACTTATACATTGTTGTTTATATTAAATAGCTAGCGAACTCATGGTTGCTTGAGTAGATATCGGGAAATTTACCTTAATCAATTGTTAATGAACGTGAAATTGATCCGAACTTCTGTAACGCGTATCGCGGAGCAAATTTTGTTATAGCGACGCGCGTATGAAAATTAATGAAACGGGAGAATTTCAATAATCCCCGCGTGAAACATCGGCGTTCGTCAACGCGACTCCAGATTTAGTTTCATCCCCGCTGCGGCGAGGCGTCGCGAAGTTAACACCCAATAAGTTTCCCCGGAGTTTGAAACGTTTATTAATCGTGAGCGACGTAGCTAGTCTGTACAGTCAACCAGCCCTTACCCTTCCCAGTTTTCGCGTTCCACGACGCGACGCCCTGTCCCTCGCCCGCCGCCATCGCCGCCCGGCAACTCTCGGTTTCTCCTATACCTCACCGACGCGAAAAGCTCGCGTCGCCCCGTGCCTTAACTTTGTCATCTAGCAACTCTCGGCGTTTCCTCGTTTCAGTTTCAACTGTCTCATCTACATGGCGGCTCAAATCGCGTCGGGCATGCGATACCTGGAGAATCTGAACTTCGTGCACCGGGATCTGGCTACTAGGTGAGTACAACGCAAGTTCTGAACGTATCCGGGGGGCCTGGATCTCTCTTTCCCACGAGGATAAACGCGTCTTAGCGGCGCGCATCCAAACTATCATCGTTCCCTCCGCAACGCGGATGTTTTGTTACTCTGACAGAGGGAAATACAGCCGAGGAAATAGAGAGGGATGGGCTAGAAGGAGGAAGGGAGGGGGGGAGGTACGCAAACGTTGTTTCGACTTCTGCAGCCCCGCGGTGCACGTCAGAGGAAATACGGATAAACGGCGTCTTTTAATCAAGCTGTTTCGTTACTCTTCGCGATTTCATTTCCCTTTAACCGCTCGTCGGTGCAGTTACGTGTAACTGAATGCTGAGAAAGCAATTTTCGGAGCAACTCACGGCATCGCCCGTGATATGATATTCGAGCAGAAAGAGATTTGTGTTCCTGTTTTCCACTCGCGGATTCAATTCTGCGATGTTCAACTTCAAACGCGTTTTCGTACGGACGGTGAATTTCGTTTTGAATTCATCGGTAAGGGTTCGTATAATTAGCAGAATAATTTGAATGTTAATGAAACGATCGTTTGTGGAAAAGAGTTTTTTTTATATGGTCCGCGGAGGGGGCGAAAGTTCGGACGACGCGCTCGGCCGCAGCGTTTAAGTTGAAATTAAATTATAGCTTTCCCAGGGCGCATTTTCATAAGCCCCGAAAACAAACGAAAGCCGCAAAACCGCATGGGAAATCACCGGCGATTCGTTAGCGATACGTCGAGCGGAAAACAGCGCGGTACGGTAGTTTATTTTCGCCGTGGTGTAACGATTAACGGAATAACGGCGCGGTCATTATCGGCTGTATGTCAACATCAAAATTGTTTGCCCGGTTCATTACAACTATAAATTACCCCGAGCCGTATGCCGCGTGCATACGCCTGCGTTGCAAAATCTACGGCAGCCGGCCCGGGAATTATTGTTATCTCGGATCGTGTCTCTCGGCGTTCCAGAGACCGGAATTACACGCGGCTCGACGATGGGTTCGATAAACTTTTATGAACTGTACGCGCGTCACTGGAAGAAGACATTTTCATAGTGGAACGTTTCCAATTTTACGCGAAGTGCCTCGATACTGGAGTAATCAAGTTTTCTCTCAATGCCTTTCACATCCCATTTCATTTCAGTCTACTATTTTTTCACAATATGTATCTACACTTCGAATTTAATTGACTCGCTGCATTTTTGTTAAATTGATTTTTCATTCTGCCATCGGAATTCATACCGTGGAGTGACTGCAATTGTGTTATAAACACTATCTCTAGAATATACATATAATTGATCTTAACTTAAGATTGTATGAGCCGTAAGATTTCTGCCAAAAGTTGAAGACATGTAATAAAAAGCTGTGTCCAACATTTGAAGCAATCATCATTTAGAAAAAATGATAATTACATTAAACTATAACCAGAACAACATTAAAGGGATTGACTCCGATTGCATGCGCACTCAGAGGAAATACAAAGTCGACTTTCTCGAAAACAAAACGCCAAATGAACAAAATTTGTCCCATATTTTCTACTACAGTCTGTCATCTACAATCACCACATCCACGATTGTGGTCATAGTGGAAGTATATAAGACGTGTTCTTCCTGTGATACTATTTTCATTACCTACTATGATTCCACATGGCAGCCATATGAGTACTTATTGTTTCCAAAACTAAAATCTGATAAAAACTGATAAGAACAACCCGATTTTTAAATAAATTTATTACATTATAAAGAAATACAATAGAAAAATAATAATATTAAGTTATAAATAACTAGCATAACAACAATACGTAAAATAATTTTGAAATCCGATGGAAAATTTAAATTAGTGAAATATCTGCATTTGTTTTTTGCTTGAAAGTAATTGAATACATTAAAATATAAATAACAGTTGAAACCGTACAAGAAGGCCGCACGTTCCCCACCTTTGTCCTAGCTTTTAAAGCTTCGATTTCACCTGCGAAAGCTTGATTCTCTCGTGATAAATAGTTAAACTGATCTGACTAGAAATTCAATAACCTAAACCAGTAATTCTCTCGACGAAGCTGGATAATCTTTGATGTAAGACGTATAATATTCAGGATGATGGGACTGGACTCTTGACTTTCATAGACAAAAGCGTATATAGCTGGTGTGCAACGAAACCCATTCACGTTCCTGTTATTGAAATGCAATGGCCATCCCCGTCGAATCGATGCACATGTGTAGATGTACATATGTGCATACATACGCTCTACATACATACATACGTACGTACAGTGGGTACATATTCACGGTAACCGCGGTGCTCTTACAGCACGTGGAACCTAGTTTCCGGTTGACCAGTGTCTCTCAAACGACCGCTCGTAAATCTTAATAGAATACCAGGATGCGCTTCCTGTACGCCGACTGTGGCGTTATTACGACGCTGCACGTGCTCGCCAATGCCTGTAGAACGATTCAAGTTGATTACTCACCGATCAATGCCATTAACTGAAAAGTATGAAGGCTAACTAGTATCATGAAACTGATTCCACCGCACGATAAAATGTTGTATGTTTAATCCTCGCAGAAATTAGAATACTGTTCCCTGACGAGGGAATTAAAAATAATAAATTGCGATGCTTCCTCGAACATGAAAGATTAAAATGTTCAAAGATTGTTTTCTTGAGTTACCGTAAAGCTCAAAGCACTCGTTTGATGCTGACCCGGAACAGAAGTTCCTTTGTAAAAACCAAAGTTTAGATACCGTCGACTTCATTAAATTCTCGTGACGTTCTTTCAGTAATATCGCGTACGTTGCTTGTAACGCACACGCGAAACGAACACGAATTTTCTTAATAAATGCAGAACTAATCGAATTAATTAATTACGAATATAAATCAGAGTAACACAAATTTAACAATAATGCATTTAACATCAGCACCCGTTCAATTCATTTATGTAAAATATTTCCCAATCCTGTCGAATGAAAAGTGTAATAGAATTAATACATTGCTCCTTTCATAACGAAATTGTATTAAAAAAAATACAAACAATGGAAGCAAAAAGCGTTTGTAGGACATTTGCTCCGTTCACAGAGGCTGAACATTTAATCGAGTCATATCGAGGCTCGATTTGCGAGAATTCGCGACGAGCACGGGGAAAACATTTAACCGGCTTTCACAAAAGTTGATCGATGGATACGAACGGTAGTCGCGCGCATGTAACTGAAGAGCGGCCGCAAACGCGGCGAATCCATTTGCAAAGGAATCAGAATTTCATGGTGGCCAGGAATTTAATCAAAATGTAATGCCGCAGGTAAACGTCCGACCCGCGATGATAGGCGTCGACGCGGCGTGACGAACTGACGATTTCCGCTGAAACATATGACTCTACGGGAATTTCGGTCCCCCACCTGTAAATTCTTCCTGTACACAATGAAAGAGGAACGCGAACGTCCGCGAGCTCTATGTAAATTCATTCCCTTCTGTGATTCATCTCTATAATCAAAAGTGCACAAATATTTGGCTGTTTAATTGTTTACTCGCTCATTGTCAGTGTAAGTGCAGTAACGAACATGACTGTGATTTGTAACACCCCTTTCAAGACTGAAGGCGTGAAATAAACAATTACTACTACTACTACTACTACTACTACTACTACTACTACTACTATAAAACCTATATTTACTTTACTGATGTCAAAAAATTAAATGGAAGTGAAAAATAAAAGAATTTCT